TAACATATTTTTTCACGTTATATGAATGATACAATATTTGACTAAAAATACTTCCGTACTCTTAGGAAATCGATGATTATATTTACATATTTTTATAAATTCTAGTATAAATTGTAGGCGTTATTGCAACTTCGACAGAACCGTGATAGCTTTTGATATTTTAGAATGCAATAACATGTGTAATAGATTCTCTCAGTTCCGCTTTAATATTCCACGGGATTTACTTAGAGCTAATATAACCAGCTCAAATATCATGTTATAAAAACGTAGCTCTAAGTTTAATATTTCATATTTTGTAATTAAAATATAGGTTTATCAGTCAATCTATGACAATATTTATCCATTTTTTTACTTTTGACCCTAGTTGGAACTCGAACTAGAATTTGGTTTACAGTAAACACAAACATTAACCTAAAGATTCATTGATTGAAAGATTTTTTTAAAATATAAAGGTCCATTTATGAACATCGATTAATCCTTAAACCTATCCATACCGACAGTTAGATAATAGGCATTTCAAACAGCCAGCTCATTAATTATCGAATAAAGTAGTCACCCTGCCATGATTGCAATAATTAATTAGTTCTTATGGTTTTTATTTGCCTGATTATATTTTTATAAAAAATATCTCCTTAAAAATGTCAAATTTTTAATAACATTAGTTTAACGACAACAGGTAAAAATAACATATTAATAACATAATTATATTTATTAGAATTTGTTTGCTGCTACAGAGAAAGGAATGAAGAATCTTTAGTGAAATGTTGATAGTTTATATGAAACAAACAGACTTTACAAATTTCATCAAAATATATTCATAAACATGGAAAAAACTACGGTTTACTTATTTTACATAAGATTGTCATAGGAATTTTAAAGAAACAGTTTTTTATTATCCTGAACCATTAAGCTCATAACAACGCTTCAGTGTACTAAATATTTTTTCTTTTTCAGCTTTACAAAGTGGTTGGTAATAAATTGCGAAATTTTATGTTTTGGGTTTAAAATGAGAAAAACTAATTTTTCCCTCATAAAACCCCCCTGAGATAAGCCCATTTTCCCATAATAGGCCGAGCAGCTGGTTCGAGAACTAGTTCGAATAAACGCAGGCTTACACGTTTGTCCCGGGCCCATGAGACCTACAGTATTTTTTATATAATTTATGCATTATACATACTATTTTGAGAAGGTAAGGTAGAAATTTGTTAATTCAACATTAAAATGTTACACTTTTTTCCAAAAAGTGTACCCGATTTGAGTTCAAAGACACTTAATGTACCCAGCTATTTGTAATACTTTATTATAGTAAGTTAATTTGCATATTTTTGTCTACTGTTTAAGTACAAATGTATTAAATAATTGGTGATTTTCAATAAGCATATTGCACAATCCCTGTACAATAATGAAATTTGTTAATAGTTATGTTATCGGTAATGCATCCACAAGATCTGGTGAAATATAACTTTCTGATTGCAATCTTAGATATGTTTGATCTTCTAGGTGAAAAATCGAACAAAAATGTGAATAAAGGTTTGATTCTTAACACAGATTGGGAAAAGTTCATTCCATCAAAGAGCGACAGAAAATCGTTCTCAAAGAGTGATTTTTCTTTGCTTTAAAATTTCGCTTTCTATGAAAACTGTACAAGGATGTTTTGTGGGCGCTTAGAAAACAAATTTAATCTAAACAACAAATAGTTTAAATGAATTACACAGAATTTTAATTTGATATTTCCAATCTTCTATTTGAGAGAATGTTTTTCAGAGCCATCTAGTATTTTACTCATTGTTGTGGTTTGGCCCCCAACTAGTAAGACATTTGTCAAAACATATATATTTATATATGTATCTTGGATTATTTACCTTTTATTTTCGTCCTAGCTCAATAATGTACAACCAAGTTGTTGAAGCTAGTTGCGCCATGATCGCGTAGGTACAATAGTTGATGATATTTCTCGACATGGTTCCTTACGGTACGTGATCACGAAGCAACTAGCGTCGACTCCATTAAAGTGGTGCTTCAATTAAAAGTTGGTTCATGGATATTTTACCAAATTAAATCTTTGTAGCCTAAAACAACATTATCGTCAAACTTAACCCTCGGTTCAAAATGTTTTCTTGTTTTTATCGAACTTCACATTTATGGAATAAGATATTGACGTAAATTTCGTTGTAAGATTCGGTCTTGCACCCAATTGACTTTTTAGTTTTAATGTTCCCAGAAGCAAAAAGCACCATCCGTAAAAAATTAATACTGTTTTTTATTCCTGCCACACTTTGAGAAGGAAGCAAAATGCAAGGCGAGTGTGAGGGATGAAGAGGGAGGATGAGGGAGAGATCCTAAGCCACGTTTAATGAGAATTTCACCGTGAAACCTGACTGTACAACAGCTTCCCTCCACTGCCAAATCACTGGCTATTTCTACATTCTTGCAGTTTTCCTAATCGCATACCAACCAACATAAGTGCTACTAATTTATTATTTATTTATTTTACTTTATAGTCTGCATTGAACCTGTTTAGTCATGGTATTTTCTGTTTTTTCCTCTTTTCTGTCCAATACCATAATTTATTTCCATCCTTAATCACTCTTCCAAATCCGTTTATTTTTAAATGGAATTTTTAACTATTTCTGGTTTTTGTAATTCATATTTAAACTGCACTTCTTTAACATTTCAGATTTTTTAATTTATTTACTCTCTCATGTCAAATTCCTTATTTTCTAATTCATAATTTAGCTGTTGGTTGCAGGTGTCCTAAATACCCCTTACTGTTCAATATCTTATTTAGAAATAAAATATTATAAAATTTTAAAACGTCGTCTATTATAGAGGTTTGTCAAAAAGCGTGTTTACTAACAATAGTTCGGCTACACTGTAGTGCTATTTAAGTAAATTCAAATGTTAAAACAATTTTGCCAATTATTAATTTGGGGGTTTTATTAGTTTGTTTGTCGGATTTACTTTTACTTTCACTCAGAGAAGCAAGAAAAAAGCCAACCATTGCGATTTTCTTATGAACAATTTGATTTTTTTCGGATTTAACAACATTTTACCTTGGATGTAAGCTTCTAGATTTTACCAGACTGATCACTAGAAATACATTATAACTTCGAATAGCCAGTAGAACCTGGGAAAGAAACTTGTAATGTTGGTCAATAGGTTATGTTGGGAGAAATTAATTTCACAATCTATTTTGAAATAAATTGCTATTCAGTGTTAGTCATTTCCATACATTTGAATCCCATCGGAGTCTCTGGCAGAATATTAACTATAACGTATCAACATCGACTACAAATTGTTTACTGAAAACATATCTGTTAAATGCTTCCAATATAAACCTTCGATCGAACTGCGATTCATCCGATTCACTATGATTTAGCCCAAGTGTTTGCGATGCCAAACATATATTTTAAAATAATTAGAAATATAGTAGCAAGCCATACATTATCCATGAAACTAAAACGTGAGATTTTATTCTTGCATCCTTACTTAAATCAATCATTGATTGATGATGAAAGTAAAAATGAAATGTAATGTAGAAGATTTGGTTTTTGAAGAATATTTTCGAACATGTCATTTCCAGAGATTAAAGTACTAGTACTAGTAGGTACGTGTCACGGACAAAATTTTCATGAAAATCGTACCATAGCGTGTAGTACAATAGCTCTGTAAACATCCACAGACAAAGTAACGACCGTTATACATTTTCTGCATTACTTATCTGCCAAATTTTTACCACACGTAAAAAAATATATTATTTTTACCATACATTTCTGTCAAGGAATTCTTTAGAATTGAGATGGTTGTGGTCTCCGTCTAGACTCAAGACAGTCTCGATAAGATTCTGGTCCCAACGTTTTCATTACTCTTCAACTATTCTTTGTCAGACTTTGTATAGAACCGTCTGGACGAATATAATCCATTTTGTTGATGAATTCAAAAACTCTATATGCATCCAACTTTAACTTTAATGCATTTCATAGCTTATTGTTTCTAGTTTTTTTTATACTTATTTGAGAATCAGTCAATCGTTATTTGTTTCATTGTAACATACTACTATGCAACAAACCGATGGTTAAATAAATGTACTAAGCTACCTTTTAAAACACATTAACCAAAAGCTACATAAAAAAACTTACAATAATATTTAAAAACGTATGAGATTTTTATATATAATTTATCTAAACACAATTCCCTTCATATTCTTGAGAGTGTGAACCTCTAAAACATACAATTGTGAGCGATGATTGGGTTTTATAATGAATATATATGCAAAATTTATAAATGAACGAAATAAATAAATTAATATGAATGACGTTATTGTAATTGAGAAAGCAGCTAATCAAATCTAGCGGACGTGATCAGGATTCGATCATTAATTCATTTACTGACTTTGACTTTTGATTGTACATTATTTTTAACCTTCTATACTAATTTAAACCGCGTACTGCCAAACGTAAAACTCTCTTTTATTTTAACTTGTCACCTAAGGTATCTTTTTGTAAGTGAAAATCCTTTAGCTGAGCTTACAACACTAAAGATCGTCTGACGTTAAACTAACGCGAAGAAGGACTTGGATTTTACGATGTGACCTGTGGTAACTAAGGCAAATACAGTATTGCCACTTATCAGTAACAATAATGAGCTAGGTCCAATAGTTTAGTCACTGTTAATTATTGCAAGACGACACCAGTACATTTTTTACAAATCAGCTCCCAAATGAGAAACTTTCCGTTTTACTAAATATATGTGACACTATTATAAACACAGACGCTTGTTCGGTAATCATTGAATAATTTTGTAGACAATGAAACAATAATTTAACTAATCCGGAATATTTTCTTCCGCAAAACCAGCGGATGAATTAAAAGTAAGTAAATGTTCAGCTGATGTCATCGAATTCTCTCAACACATGTATTTTAACACCGTTCCACAAAAATCAGTTAAATTAATCAAAATTTTCCAATTTCGAATGTTCTCATACAGTTTTCCTGTTACAGAATCTCCCGATGGCGTCATCAATGAACCATCTACAATGATATAGGAGAGCTCCACGCCGCGGCGATGTACAAGACAGTCCGCCAAGGAGAGAATTCCCTCCAATACCACATCCTACCGCAGGATGACGTCAGTGGTCACGTGATGAAGCGCAGGCGCTCCACGCGGCACCGGACGGCGTTTATCCTGGTGCTGACGCTGATCCTAGGGTGCGCCATCGTCGCAGCAGCGGTGCTGATACCTGTGTTGATGTCCTCCAACGTAGTGACTCTCCCGGCCAGGTTTCAGACATTCGCTGTAGCGGCTTCCAGCGTCAATGTTAGGCCTCATGGGAAGTACACGCTGCAGGGTACGCAGTACATAGCGCTGCTGCCGGTCAGGGACTCGGCGGGGCATTTTAACGCATATCAGGTACAATGGTTTTTGTTAGCATCCCTGGGAAAGTACCCCAAATTGTTGTTATGTTATGTCGTTACATTATTAAATCAACTAATATTAAAAAGTTCAAACTATTTTAGGATTAATCTAGTTTACCCAACTAAAAATTAAACCCAGTCGTTAGTGAGCAAGACATAGTGCATTATTGTTGTGAATTGCAGTTTTATTTTAAAGCAACACATTTCATTTCACCATATGCACTTATCGTGTACAGTCGTCAGCTGAGTGACATCTAGTGAATGTACTAACATCAGCTGTTTATAGGTGAAACCGTCATTATTCACTACTTCGACGACGACGACGACGTCGACGACTACAGTAGCTCCCACAGTGTCGACTCCTGGTGAAACCCTTGGTGTCAGAACTGTGAACAACGACCCTTACAGACATGAGGGCGTGACTGTGGTGAAGCGAGGTGAACTCCAGAGGCCAAGATGGTTGCCGGATCCTTACCTCCCTTGGACGGTAAATCTCAATCATCAGGTGTAGGCCTACAACTCACGTTTAACCACTTTTATAATCCAGAAAATTCTCGACATTAAAATGTTCCATTCTTACACCCTAAAAACTCAAAATGTAAAAATCCCGTGTTTTTCTGATGAAAATACCTCGTACAAAAAACTAACTTACGTATGTGAATTTAAACCAGTTCAAAACGTCCTACAGAATTCACATTTGTTCAAAGTGCTGGATGTGGTCCGAAATTATCAGGCTTGACTTACAGGTTTGAGAGGTTTGACTTTTATGCTGGTCAACTGAGTTAAAAAGTATAGGTCTCTTCCTCAACAAATGAGAAAACACTGGACACTTCAGTTGTAAAAATAAAATTGTATAGATATCTATGTAATGTAAAATAAAAAAATAATAAGAAAAAAAATATTGCAAAATGGACATTAAAAAATCCCGTACTCCGATTACAAGTTTAACGGGTACAAATCAATTGAATCGTTTAAAATCAAGTCAGCTTCTTTTAGTCTCTGTGTAGTGGTCATTCAAATGGAAATGTCCAATCCGTTTTGTGCAGCCATGAATTCAATAAAAATGCTATACATTATAACATGGGCCCATTATGCTGTTTAGCTTTGAATTATTATATGCATATAATGTAGTGGATAACTTCAAAAGGAAACATACCAAGTAAAACCTCATTTGCGGACCGTCCATTTATTAACCTATATGATAAATGAAATAATTGAATTGTAGCCTAATTCAGCGTAACGTTATTTAGATATTCAACCAGTGGCCATGGAACGACTAATCAAAAATTCCTGTCAGAGTGAAATAATACTTACTTTAATTTATTAACCAATACATTATTTTTATTGATACTCGTGCAAAGTTTAAGATAAAAAGTGTGAATTGGTGGTTCTAGCTACAGAGGATCATTTAGAAAAGTCAATTCGGGAATTTAACACTTTGTATTTGTGTGTAAGTTGTGGTATGTCCACATGCCATGTATATACATAGTTATACTGTACTAGCAGAGTACCCGTCCTTCGTACGGGGTTGGCATATAAGTTTAAATTGCTTATTGCAGTTATACTCAAAGCTTTGCGTTTGTAATAGGGGAGGACAAAGTTTGTTAAAATTTGCTTCTTTACATTGGCGGTATACTATGGTATTACACATCTACCATATCCATAATGTTCTACCTCTTCACCTAAACAATAAAGAAAAATAAAGTATTACAAATTAAAAAAATCCCAAATTATTCATGACATTAAAAACATAAACATAACTGTAAACAAATCCTACTTTGACAGTTCTCATTGCGTATCACAGTGTTGTTTGTTGCTGCTTGGTTCAAATTAGCTGTTTACATAAATGCGAAAAAAATATAGTGCTGTTGGTAAATCTTATAACTATTTAATGCTTTTGTATATCATAGAACCAACATTTTTAGTTGAAACAGCTGACTAAATTCTTTAATTCCCTTTAAATATGAATACTCCATGGGGAACTACAGAGCCACTGGGGCGAAGCCCGAAGGGATTTTTGAGATAAGAATAGCCTATATGTTAATCGGGAATGTGAGCTATCATTATGCCAAATTTCAGCCCAATCCATCCAGTGGTTTATGCGTGATTGACCTTCAAACAAACAAACACACAAACTTTCACATTTATAATATTAGTAAGATTGTTGCCCCTTTACAGGATCATAAGGGTGGTACCTTGGTGCTGAGTTTAAGCGTCGCTTCGATAATGCTACTATGTGCTGCAGTGTTGGGGCTGTGCCTTTACCTACGTCGTAGAACTGTTAATTCAAGGGTAAGCTATGATGCAACTCTTATTTCAGAGTCATTTGAGGGAGAACGGGACATAAGGTGCACCCAACTCTAAATTTGGAATATTTGACTCTATTATAAATAGTTGCTTTACCCGTTATACGAAAATGGGGTTTGGATACAGGAAGGAATATGGAAGCACATTCAATCGTACTTGTCTTTGCTTTAAATCTTTTTTGTTCAATAAAATTATCTGAGAGGGTTTAATATGTTCGATATGTAAACAAAGTATACCTAAATAGAGATTATAACTATGTACCAAACAAAGTAAGTATGGCTCTTCCTGTTGCCTTAAAGACTAATCATTATTTACTTCTGAAGCGATACCATGAATCTTTACAAGTCATGGGCTGTTAAACATAGATTTAAGTAATGAATTAATAGGCTTATTTGTTTGACAGGTTTGTTATCTACCATGTTGTATTGTACCACCCTAGCCAAGATGGATCTGTGGTTTTGTGTTGAAGGAATACTGATACACAAACATAAAACGCATCTGATTTTGGGTATTGTGATAGATAGATTAAACTGAAAAAATGAGGTTATAGGCCACCAACTAATGAGGGTATTTTACCTAACTAGATTTAAAAATTAACTCAGCAAGGTCAACATAGTTTATAATTGCAAATTAGAGGGATTTAATTCGTTCCGCTGAATTACTGGTCCAATATAGTAATTTATTATTAATGCACACAATAGCATACATGGGCTATTTAACATTATGACCTTATAATTGAATTAGTTTTCGTAGTCGAAATCTTTTGCTTTTCGTTCCTAAACATGGCAAAAATGATCTTAGATATTAGGATAATTTATTGTGTATATTATTTATCACAATATTTATATTTAGTAGTAATTTATAATGTAATATTAATGCACACTAAAGCATACATGGGTTTACCATTTAACATTATGACCTTATAATTGAATTAGTTTTCGTAGTCGAAATCTTTTGCTTTTCGTTCCTAAACATGACAAAAATGATCTTAGATATTAGGATAATTTATTGTGTATACTATTCATCACAATATTCATATTTCGTTGTGATTTATTTCTACAGAGATACCCCGAGAGGGACGCAGGCTCGGGGACGTTACTGGTGGAGGTGTCAGGGGATGAAGACTGAACGAGTGGAAAAACATTAAACTGAAGAATCTCAACCGCAAATTGCGAACATGTGACCACCAAAAAGTAACCACTGAAGCTGACCAAGTGAAGATTTACAAACAAAGGAATTACCTTAATGACGGAATTGTTAACAGTTCTTTGAGGGAATGGCCGACATCCGTTCTCTAGTTGTGTATATTGTTTGTTCAGTTGTAAAGACTGATTCTGTTTTTGTATGGTTAAATATCAAAATGAGATGTGGATAAATGTAAAGTTTTAATTTCTCCCTAATTTTGAAGGTAAAATATGGCAAGGTTTGTAAAAGTTGGGAAAAGTGATAGACATTAGATAGTTATAAGTTTTCATTTTTCATTATTTACATTTGGCTAATTGACAAATTATAGTAAGACTGAAATCATTGAAGTGTTTTAGAGACCTTTTACACTTTATTTTACAATGGTTTAATCTATTGAATAGTACACAAAAGAAAGGACTAATGCTTATAACGTTGATAATTTTGTTTTAAAATACTTCAACTTTAATAAGTATAATTTACACAAAGTAATAAACTATAAAACCCATTACCGTTTTGATATTTATGACTATCCATTACTAATCTGTATACTAAACAAATGTTTTGGTATCCATAGAATTTTTGTACTGATGTTAAAACAAATATTATAATTTGGTCTTATTTGTTTAAGTAAACATTGTATTGGTGAATCCCGATTTGCTTGATTTAATGTTACCGCACAGTATAATAATTTACCATTAAAGATTTTCATTGAAACAAATTAACTTGTATTCAAAGTGAGTTTAGTGTTTTCTATGACAAGTTTTCCTCGATGGATAAATCAGGCGTATAATAACTCAATAACTTAGTGTAATCGATTTAATTCTGTTACTGTTTTAACCATGTTCCTCCCAATATATGTGATTCGGCCGCTGTCTATTTAGTATGGTTCTGATTAAGGATGTCTCCATTTTCCCAAACTAAAAGTATTTTCGAGAGAAAATTTTAAAATATAATTATTTTGTATTAGTGTATAATCAGTATCAAATGTTGTTTACTGTCTATGTATATTTAATAAACAAAATATTGATAAAACAAGTGGTTTCATCGTTTTTACATAGATGAATTGTGTCATTTATAACGAGCTATTTTTCCAGGAGTGTATGATGTTACATAACCGCACGCCTTTTGTGTAGATTAGCGATCGGCAGCGGCACAACGGAGCGAGCTAGCGTCTGTACCCTCCTGACAGTAGGGTGGTTTTGGTTTAGTCGGAGAAGCAAGGAAGTTGGTGAAGATTTAGAGTTGTAACCATGCTGATATAATCCTGATACCATTGCAAGTGTCAAGTAATACCGAAGTATTACTTATCATAGCTTTCGACAAGCGTCGCAGTGCATTTAATATATTTTTATTGAGTAAGTTTGAAATATATAATTTTCGGTTGTACTAAGAGTTGATTATTTTATTGATAGCTCTAAGGCCCGACGAATCTACGCTATAGGATCCAGCGTGTGTAGTTGACTGCACGAGGCCGGTAGGCGAGTACTGGAAGTTAACTTTGCAGCCTAGATAGAAGTCCACTGTTAGCTGGTTGATTTTAGTAGTGTGTTCATATAAGTTATGGATCATAACTTAACTAAACTGCCTGTTTATCGTCTCAGAAGCTTGGAGAGTACATGCCTACAACAAGCGGTCAGATATACTTGGCTAGTTCTTGAAAGGTATTTTATGTATTCATTACACTAACATTATGTAAATCAAAGCATACATAAAAAGTCTAATAATAGTAAAACTGACGTTTATTTATATTGGTATCGTTTGTGGAGACCAACTTCTAGGTGATTCGTTAGTTACTGTAGTTGTACTTGGATTATTATTTGGAATTATTGTATGATGCTTTTGCATGTTAGAAAGGTGCATTGGATTTTAGTGGCCGTGCTGACCCCACCTGGAGATAACGTGTGTTGAGGTCATCTTTGTCAAGATACCGTTTCAATTGCTTTAGGCACTCTGGGCTTAATTATTGGTTATTGATGACGAGATCCGAGTTTAAAAATTCAGCAGCAACTTTCTAGAAGAGTAGAGAATAGGCGTGGTATGTTGGTGATTAGTGCACGATTGTGACCGCTTTAACTGGTTCACAGAGCCCGTATAAGACAGCCTTATACCTAATGGGGGTTTAAGGTAGCTGGTTACGGTCCAAAACTACTCTTTTTAGTTTTTAGCTATTTCGCGCTGCAGACGTAGCTAATCATCAGGTCAGAGTGTCAGTCTGGGTTTAAATACTCCTTAGGTGGAATTCGTCAAAAGTTTTGTACTATAGACATAACACGGAAAACACATGACACGGATTAAAACTGGGCTTCCAGACGGTAACTGGAAAAATATGGACATCATTTAATTTTAATCGTGCAATTAACTATTATTTATGAACAAAGTGTTTGAGAGAAAACATAAATTATAGGTAATACATTATATTTAGAACCATCTTTGTACATTATTCAATAAATCTTATGTGATGTACGAAAACTTTGAAATACCAACCGTTTCAAATTAATTGGTATAGTTAAACTCCAAAAAGAAAGTCTTGGAAATTTGCAATTCAAACAATACTCAACTTGACATTCATTATTATTCATTGGCCTCGTTTGAATACTTGACCGAAATTAGTATTTCATTCGTTTACATTAAAAACCACAATTTGAAAATAATGTTTCTACATATTAATGCTAAATACAATTAAAACCTTAGTTTCCGTTCGAAAGGTGGCTTTAAACTTCCTTAATATTAGCAATAAAACAAAACATTCATTTTGATGTAACAACGAAGGAAATGTTGTTAAAGTGGGGTTAAGTTTGTTGGTAAAGTTCTTCTCCTTAACAAAGATGTAATGTTATATCTTTGTAAGAAACTTTTAATTAAAACAGCGTTTCAAAAGCCTGTTCAACAATTATTTTCTCTGTAATGAATTTATTATTCCATAATTTTTATTTGGTATCTCCGTTTACCGCAATAGAAACACACTAGGTTATTATTACAGATGTTATTATAGATAAAGGAGGGGAAATTAAAACACCTCAATATTATGGCAGTTTTAAACATAAAAGATTTTCCAACATGAAAGGCCACGATCACTAAGCCCGTCAGAAACAGGGAACAAACTCGAACAAAAGAAACAGAAAGATTTTTGGAACAGTTCCTTGCGATGAAAGACTCCATTTTTGTTTTCACCTTTTAAATTCTTTGTATTTGTTCAAAAATAGGTTTTCAATGAGTATTTCGGCGTAATGACCGTTATAATTGATAATTTTTTAACCAGCATTATAGAATTGTGGTATGTGTAAATATAATGGTATATGAGAACTGTGGAAATATTTAAATATATTGAAAGTGTTATTTTTATGTGGTTATGTACTGGCGTAAAACCACTAACATAGAATGATCCAAATAAATAAAGAGATAAAAAATTTACTACTGGCTTTTTATAAAAATTGAAGTTATGAAGTGAAAAACTTTACAACTTTAAAATACTTACAATAGTGTGTATAAACAGATTAGAGTGTAATTAACACGAAAAAGTAATCTTGAAATTTCGTGGATACGAATTACCAAAAATAAAATAATATACTTAATGAGTAATTTGAAATCAAAAATCGTTTTAGAATCGCATAGGACATAACATAATGATTATTTTAGAGCCTCGTCTTGCATTTTACTGTACAGCTCGAGAACAATATGAATCACGTTTTATGTCGAGTATGACACTGGGGTAGCGAAGACTCAAAGTTGGCTAAACTTGACAAAAAGTTTAAATACTTTTTCTAAGATTCTACATTGTTAACGGAAGATAATGCCAAAAGTTACATCAGCGTCCTTTGTAAAAGTTGGGCTACAAAACGTCTTCTCGAAGAAACTTTTAATTGAGAAAATTGTTAAACTTTTACAGTCTTTTCTTGGATTACAATAAATCAAAATATTTTAAACCCGGAACAAAAGATGAAGTAACTAATAATTTAAAGATTGGGAATTGGAACATTGCCATTTGAATGATACTTGATTTTTCAAAAACCTTGTTGGCACTTGATCTATAAACCGTTTTAAATTTAAAATATGCCTCTGACGTTTAATTTGAGACTTACGTTATGAATTTGTTAAAGTAAAACTTTAAATGGCTTAAAACTAAAAAGATCTTTTTTATTAATTAAAACGACAAACCAAATAATCCAATAAAACATTTAAAGAATTCGTTTAGAAAATCCTAATATAATGCCTAAAACAACAGTAATATGACTGAAAATCAATAATATTAATCTTATTTATAACTATAATTTATGCAAATAAATTGTAACCCCTTTAAATGTAAATTTGTTTACAAATTAAATATGAGTTATATGTTTTAAATGTAGGTTTACAAAGATACCTATTTTGTTTTAATGATTGTTTAACTCATTGCAATTGCTGAACAATGTAAATTGCTTACAACCAAATCACTATTATTGCCATCATCGATCATTATTGTTCAATTCTTTAAGCATTAGGCTGCTCTTTGGTTAAAACATGCATCAAGGTAGTGGTGTAGCGGGATCAGGTGATGCACCCTGTATCTGCTGTTAACATTGCATGTGCATGTTCAAGTCGCAAATCTTACTCGGAGTTCAATGCAATGAAAACCCTCCTTTGTTAAGAATAGTTGATAGTTGTAGTCAAGTATTGAAATCTTATACACAATAAAGACGTTGTGCTGCTTAAAGGAGGAGTCTTTGTTCAATATTTATAAAGGAACTACAACAAGTAATAAATAGCATTGCCATTACTAGGGTTAAAAATAATTTCTTTCTATGGCAGCCTAAGATTAACGTCCCAGACAACAAAGTAAATAACTTTTACTTTTAGAAACTTAAGTCCTAAAAGAAAGCGTGACATTGAAGGTATCATAAATTATTCTTTCATCTTGATATGATTAATGTAACAAATAAATTTTGAGCTATAACTGATTTATATTCTTGCCTGAATCTTCATCAATTGACGTTGTGCAAAACATTTTGTTTTTAAAAATCGATTTAGAAATTTCCATTCTTATTTTTGAATACAATATGACGCACAATCGATTCGATAAAATATTTTAGTACCTATTTATGGAAATTGTTAGTTAAAAACAATAACCAATCAATTAATTGTGTCTGGTCGCCTGGATCAAAATATTTATTACGGGTTTATTTCGTTTATAGTCTGTTATTTAAATGATTAGGGAATCTGCTATTTTGTATAAGTTGGATATGAATTTGGACAACTTGTTTTGTTTTGTGCAATTAAAAAATATCCTACATAATACTAGCATAACTGTTATTGTTTTGGTCAAATAAAAAAATAAATTATGATTATACACTTAAAGCCAATACGTCTTACGTGGGCTACCAAATAAATAGTTTTGATAAAAACTCGACATTTAGTAATATCGGAATTCCTTTATTTTTAGAATCGCAGTTTTCATAACAACGACTTTATATACTGTATATTTCAGCGTATATTGAAAGCGTTGCATTGCATTATGTTGCGTTTATGCCTGATAAAACTGCGATAGCTCCATATTTTAGAATGCAATAACAGTATTATAGGTGCTATTCCTCTGTTTTGATATTTTAGAAGGTATACTTTGAGGGATGTATCACCACCCACAATGCCACAACATGTTGTGATCGTTTATAGACATGTGATTTAAATTTTGTATTTATTGATCACCATTACGTTAAGGTTTGACTGATTTAAAATTTCCTCTATGCATTGTATATAGGGAAAGTATTTGCTTAGTCAAAATCCTTGAGGGTTTTGGGTTCCCATGAAAAATATATGTTTTTGAAATAAGAACTGTGTGTTTCATGATAACCGATAAAATGATAAGATCTTATTTTCGCAAAGGAAGCTTAAACGGGATTGATAAAAAAATTTAGTATGTTATGGTACTTAAAAAAAATGGTAAAAGTAAAAAGTAAACTAAATTCTTTAAATTTGCCACATAAAATACCGTAGCTCCACCGCCACCACTAACTGATTACATTTGTTGTTGATAGTAG